CCTAAATTCCCCCCCCCCCCCCCCCCCCATTATACTGACTCCAAGCTTTTGAATGGTATAGTGTATAATGTTACAAAAGATTTTTATTTCAGGTAAAGTTGTATATTTTTGTCTGGAGCCCTGGGACTCAAATGATCATAACTCCTTGTAGCCTACAGAGGCAAGATGCAGCAACAAAAAAATTTGGTTTACATGGTTTCTGTGAGATCTTCTGTTACAATCTTAAAGAATTAAATTTTTTAACTGCTTTTTGCCTTTGTACAGGGTTAAATCCACTAATTCTCCTAATATATTCCTTTATACATGTCAATTTATTCACTGAAATCGTCTCCAAAAGATTTGCTAGTTGTTTGAATCATTTATCAGTAGCCATTTAAACTAATATTGAATGTTATGCACTGACCGCTGGAATCAAGTTTGGTGTAGATTTGAAAATGATTTGTCCTGCTGTGTGTTTGCTTACTGTAGAAGTAACCTCTTTCTCAACTCTCCTTGTTTTTGCAGTGGATGGAGCTCCGATTCAATACACTGGCCAAGTGCCCGCATTGCAAAAAAATGTGAGTCGCCATCATTTGTCATATTATTTGTACGTCAAAAATGTGATGTCTGTGGCAATACTCCACCAGTGATGTGCCGTTCTCAGGAGAAATGTCGTAAATCTCAGTGTGTGATGTGCGTTACTAGCCGGAGGTCAGGCTTGAGTTTGTAACTGGCCTGTTTGTAGAAGTGAAAGTAAATAAAACCTGGCGAGTCCCAGTTAGAGAGGGAGGCAATGTGATGCCAGTCTGCCGAGCGTATCATGATGACATACTGAAACATGAGCCCTGCACGCTAGTGACGCTGCGAGGGAGAGTTATGACAACAGATGTTGCAGCACACATGAATGGAGCTGAGTCTCCCGAAGCAAAGCACAGATTTCCACTCGAATGCAGAGTGTAGGAAGAGGCAGAGAAGGATAGAAATTAAGCACCTCAAGCTATCTGATTTGTCGTGATTCTAGAAGAATGTTTGAAAATCCCATCACATGAGAGGCATGTGAAGGGTCATGGTAAGACTTAATGGTCCTCAAACAGGAAAAAGAGCAGACCATGTTACTACAAGAGTCTGTCTGACAGCCAAGTGAGAGATCTCAAAGGCCCGGTACACTGGAAAAAAAATTATACTTTGAACCAACTTTAAAAAAACAAAAAAAATACTATTAAAATAAAATTTGTTAAGCCAAATGTGGTTGTAGTTGGCTTACAATAGTTTTCTCAAATTATATTTAGGTTAAGTTCTTAAAAAGTCCCCAAAATGTTTATCTTCAAAGAAAGTAAAAACATTTATTATAAAGATTATACCATACTTACTAAACGTAAGCCAAAATAGTACTTAATGTAGGTTAGAATAATCTTTTTTTACAACTTAAGTTCACAAAAAGCTAAATTAGCTATAATATAAAAGTAGAAGTTTCACTTAAAATAAAACGAAAAACATTTAATTAGTCAATGTTTAATTTAGTTTATTGACTATAAATGATGGCAATTTCTAAAGAGCTTAAAGGGATAGTTCACCCAAAAATGAAAATTGTGTCATCATTTATTCACGCTCAAGTTATTCCAGACCTGTACGAATTTCTTTTTTCTGTTGAACTCAAAAGAAGATATTTTGAAGAATATGGGTATAGAAAAAATACTATGGAAGTCAATGGGGACCATCAACTTTTTTTTTTCTTCCAAAATATCTTCTTTTGTGTTCAACAGAAGAAGTACCGTACACTTACAAAGGGTTGAAACAACTTGAGGGTGAGTAAATTATGACAGGATTTTCATTTTTGGGTGAACTATCCCTTTAATGATTACTGTGGTCTATTTTTAAAATATGCATATTTCCTGTTATGTACTAAAAAAATAATCATTCACTAAAGCAATATGAGTTTTGACAACCAGAAAACAAACTGTTTTGTCTTCACTGGGATTGGGGGTGAATGCTTTGGGATATTTTGCTCCGTTTTGTTTGGTTTAGGAAATAGAATAAATAAATTCCATTGCCTATCCTCTCAGGATACCTGGAATTACTGCTACAAGTACCCCAGGCACATCGTTTTTCCGTTTTTGAAGCATAAACCCCATAAAACCGATGCGAGCTTCGGATCTTCCCATGTTTCTCAATGGCACTGAAACCTACAGATGTCCGAGTTCCACTCCCCGTGCAACTGATACTCGACTGCCATTGGCTCATCTGCGTTCGAGGGGAGGGGCTTACCGATAG